TTGCTGTATGTGGGACGCGGCCTCAGCATGGCCGAAGAAGCCGTGCATCGGTGCGCACCCGGGATCCGAACCCAGGCCGCCAGCAGCAGAGCGCGCGCACTTAACCGCTAAGCCACGGGGCTGGCCCCATACTTCACATTTTAAAGGGACATAAAGAAGGTCAATGAAGCTAGAGTAGGGTGAACAAAAGAGAGAGTGCGGGGAAGGATGTAAAGGCAGGGAAACAGACCACGCAGGAGGACTTGGCCTATAATTAATTTATCAGTTACCTTAATGCTTGTACCGTATCGCATCCCCGTCCTTTATGTTTGTGGACTAGGAGCTCGGAGCTCTTAAAAGACTCCTATGGGAAGGAGCCCTCTTTTCTCCAGCCTTTTGGGCTACAGCTTCCCATGATCTGTTTTCATCAATCAGGTCCATCTGCTTTCTCTCTTCTAGGATTTCTTCAAAATGTCCTCCAGCTACCTGCCTTTCTAGCTTTCCAGCATTACTATGGATTCATTCTTTTTAAAATACAGGGTTTTTTTTTTTTTTGACATTTTTAAGGACCTTGGTATGTGTCAGTTCTCAATTCACCATCTCTAATTGAAATTCTCTTATCTCATGTTTAAATTTGGAGCTCTAAGCTCATCTTAATCTCTTCTCCTCCTTTTGTTATCCTATCTTTTTCTCTCTGTTCTCTTTTCAGCTTGTCTTTAGAGTGGCTGCTGAGAGGTGAGGCCTCAGCGGGATTTTTATTCACTATCCAATAAACATGTATTGAGGACCTTTTATCTGCAAACAAACTTGAGGCCGCTCTCTCCTACCCGTTGCAGCCACTTGCCTTGCTCAGTTCCAGTGAGTTGAGTACAGCTCATCAAAACACCTCCTGCAGGGACACTGAGGGGACACAAGGGTTAATTCTTGCCAGTGCCTTACATTTCACTGGACACTGCAGGTATTTCATTTCCTAGGAAAGTTTTCATATCTCAGAATTCAAATGCCAAAAAAGTGTATTTTAACTCCCTGGTCTTTGTCTGTCTCTGTCTGTCTGTCTGTCTGTCTATCTATCTATCTATCTATCTATCTATCTGTCTATTTGTCTATCTGTCTGTCTGTCTTCATTGAGTTTTGGGTGCCATAAGTCATTAGGAGATGACACATAGGATGTCATACTTGAGAGGGATGGACCACGTTACTGCACTGAGAACAGAAGACCCTACACCCTTGTAAACTGAGAGCTTGGCATTACTGGGCATTTGTAAAGTTTTCAGGCACAGGAATTTTCACTCATCTCCCTAAAGCAGATAAATATGCTTTTGTACAGAGATTAGAGCACTTGAAAGGTGATATTAACAATCTTCATGGCCCAGTTGGGTCCTTTGCAGAATCCCACAGTACAGAACTCTTTGCCTGCCCTGCATTTGCCTTATGGAAATACCACTACACACTTTCCCTCCAACCCAGAATCAGGAGGCCAGAGCACCTTGAATGAAGAGAAAAGGAGGCCAACATTCTCTTCTCTACCCCAGGGCTATTGCATGTGCTGTTCCCTTCACCTGGGACACTCTCCCTGCTTCTCCTCCAAGTCTCTTACTTATCCTGACTCTTACTTATCCTTCTGGGCTCAGCTTATAAGCTGCTTGCTCAGAGAGGCCTTGTCTGCTTTTCTAATCTTCCCTTCCTTCCTCAAGTGTAGTGGATGCTGCTGGTGCCCTGCTCGGGTCCCCTTCACTGGTGGCACACTCATTCCTCAGTCACTGTGAGCATTCATTGCTAAAATGGAGCTGCCTTGCCTGGGAGGTTACTCCTGGCCACAGGGGACAGTCAGTGGCCAGTGATTGATTGGGGTATGAAAGGCCAGCTGCCTGGCCTCAAGGTGGAGCTTTCCGGGATATGAGGCTGAAGTTAGTCTCCAGCTGAGACCACACCTTTGCTTAGTTTTCTTCTCCTGCTTCCCTCGTACCCTTCTCCAGAGAGCTCTCCTCCAATAAATCATTTTCACCAGAATCACCATCGCAGACCCGGCTTCTAGGAAACCTGACCTAAGACACTAATTTATCATTTATTTACATAACTGAGAACAACTTCTCTCTCTGAACCTTGCACCTCTACCTGTGATGGAGAGTCACATGGACTCTAATGTGAGTAGTGCCCCCAGGACTGGCCACACAGTAGCCCCCCGCTCTGAGGCCGCTGAAGAGCTTCTCATGGAAGTCGAAGTGGAAGAAGAAAAAGAGGCGCCGCACACGAGCCCTGCACCCTGGAGGCTGTGCTGCCATTGCTGAAGCAAAGCTGTGTGTCTGACCTGATGAAAACGGGTATTCTTTAGAAACTGTAAAATCATTTAATCTAAGATTCGATATAAATGCCACTCTCTGTTAATCTTTAAGAACCAACAAGTCAATCCCAGATCTCTTCTTTCTCTGAAGTGAAACTAATTTGGTTAAGGATGGAATTTTTTGAGTTTCTTTCCCAAAAAGTTCAAAGTTCAAAGCCATGATTAAGTCTCTTCTCCCAAATGTAACCCCTTGGGAGCCACAGTAATAGCACAAACCAATAAGATATGATGAATTCATGTTTGAAGAGCCTATAGAGACATTGACTAATGGCATGAGACCCACAGGATGGTTTAGAAATTAGTTCGTATGCAAATATTTTTGGACGCCAGTACCTTGTCCCTTACACATTCAATACTTAAAATTTAGATTATTTGAAAGTGACTCTGAGATGGAACAGTTGTGAAATTTTGTTGAGGCATGAGCTCAACTCACACGTACCACAAAGTTGGAAGCCAAAGTTGGTAGATGGTGAGTGAACGAGGTGACCTCTCAGCATCTACTCCACTCGTGTGCAGTAACTCCCATGAAGGGATTTACAATCTTTCCAACTGTTAATGTTGTTAATGGAAGTGCAGAGGTGGAGGAAAGAAATGGCAAGTATGGCTTTGAGGGTACCCAAGACCAAAGCTCTCACAGCTGTTGAATGATTACTGTAGTCCATCCATATCAGCTACCATGATGGCTGCCTTAGAATCTGATTTTCCAAATGCACAATTAAGGAAACAGAGGCACTAGCATGCTGTTTTAGGAAGAAGATGGAGCTTGGACATCTTGGAATTTTAAATTGGAATTTTTTTTTTTTTTTTTTTTTTGCTGACGAAGATTCCTGAGCTAACATCCGTTGCCAGTCTCCCTTTTTTTGTACGTGAGCTGTCACCACAGCATTGCCACCGACAGCTAAGTTGTGTAGGTCTGCACCCAGGAACCGAACCCAGGCCACTGAAGTGAAGCACGCTGAAGTTAACCACTAGGCCACTGGGGCTGGCCCTGTTAAATTGGAATTTGAAGGTGGTCAAAGTGGGCATCCCCCCTCTGATGTCCCCAGCTTCTCCCACTTGTAGTTCAAGAAGCCATCTCTTTATAGTCTCAGGCAGGCTAGTTCTGCCAATTCCTTATTCACAGTGTAGGTTTGCTTTTCTTTCTGCATCTCTCTTTTCTTTTTTTGTTTCCTGAGGAAGGTTCGCCCTGAGCTAACCTCTGTTGCCAGTCTTTCCTCATTTTTTGCTTGAGGAAGATTCTCCCTGAGCTAACATCTGTGCCAGTCTTCTTCTACTTTATATGTGGGTTGCCGCCACAGCAAGGCTGACGACTGGTGTAGGTCTGCACCTGAGATCCGAACCTGTGAACCCGGGCCGCCAAAGCAGAGCATGCCGAACTTAACCGCTACGCCATGGGGCCAGGCCCCTGCATCTTTCTTTTCTGTTTATGGCACCACCATCATCTTAGTTGCTGAAGTTTCAAACCTTGACCTTTGGCCCCTATACCTTTATCCTTCTTCTCTCTTCTCCTGACATTATTCTCAGGGCCACCTCCATCCGTAATCTTCTGGCTGTGATGCCTAGAGCTCCTCATGGGATGTGACCATCACCTCCACACCACTTGGGTTATTCATGTCCCTGGCCTCACCTTGGATCTTTGTATTACTCTGAGTCTCTCCTCCTCCAAAAGCATCATTATGGGGACCCATTGGGAAAATCCTCTACCTTGGTTCTGCTGCCAAGATCTCCTCCTACACCAGCTTAACTGTTTTGACTCTTTTCTCTTGTTTTAAAGAAAGCAACACCAATATCTGTGTATTTCCTCCCAGAAAGGATAGAGATAGGCAACAAGGAAGGGGAAAATGTGTCTTCAAATCTGCAGCTTAAAGCCCTATGTATTTAAAAATCATTCTTGGGCTGGCCCCATGGCTTCACGGTTAAGTGCGCACGCTCCGCTACTGGCGGCCCGGGTTTGGATCCCAGGCGTGCACCAACGCACTGCTTCTCCGGCCATGCTGAGGCCGTGTCCCACATACAGCAACTAGAAGGATGTGCAACTATGACATACAACTATCTACTGGGGCTTTGGGGAGAAAAAAGGAGGAGGATTGGCAATAGATGTTAGCTCAGAGCTGGTCTTCCTCAGCAAAAAGAGGAGGATTAGCACAGATGTTAGCTCAGGGCTGATCTTCCTCACAAAAAAATAAAAATAAAAATAAAAAAATATCTTAAAAATCATTCTTGTTTGCCTTTTATATTCCTATAAACTGTATAGAGGATGTTATCTCTCAGTATTCCAAACAAGATCAAAGAAGCCTGTGTTTGGATAGCACCATTAAAAGAGGAGGGACCCTCTCTCCCTGCTGTCCCTGAACAAAGGCTCCCCTGCAAGCCGGGACAATCACTCTGAAACCTGCTTTATCAGCAGATGAACCATAGCAGCTCTGGGGCCCAGGGCTGTCCTAACAGTGGCCAGAGGACAGGAATAGTGGAGTAACACTATTGTAACACCTGAAGAGTACTTGGCATTGGATTTGATTGACACTGAAGGGATTAATAAACCCCTTAACCAGTTTTCTTCTTTTAGTATCTCATAATTTTTCTTTCATTTCCATCAAATGGAATGAAAACACGGTATTGGCCAGTGAGAAGATGTAACCCTGATGTTGACCTACCCTAAACCTAGTGTGAATTCTGAAATCCCCCCGCTGTGGGGTCATAGTGACTTCTCCTTCCACCTCTTCATCTGTTTTCCCCTGGAACCTGTTGTCTGGCCAGCTCAGGAGCTCCATGCTCACACCTCTCTGGTCTTGCTTGTTTCAGCCCGTGATCAGCCACTTTGCTGGTTCTCATGAGCATTCCTGATGCCCTTGCCTCCATGAACTTCCATTACCCCTGCCTTCCCATCCTCCGCTGTGCCACTCTTTACCCTCTTCAATATCTGGAATGTCAGGTAAGGCTGAATAAAATCACAGGAGTGATTTGCTCTTTATGTGCTTGGCCCTTTGATGGCTCTAACGTCCTCGATGCTTCACTGCTTGACTACATCACATATTCTTAAAGGACTTCACATCTGATCCACTCTGATCAAGGCCCATATTCCATCCTCACTGCCAGACTCTGCAAAATCATATTTTGTGGGGACCAAATCCATCCAGTTTGAATTTTCTTAAAATCTCTCTTATCTACATCAAATTTATATTTGTATTTGCCTCTCTCTTTTTTTTCTTCTTGCATCCAATAAAGAAATTTCCCTAGGTATTATCTGATAAAGTTGAAAATGTACATGGTCTATGACCCACTGTTTTTTTTCTGTCTATTTATCTCCTTGTCCATTTTCCTGTTGACTTATTCTACTTATTTTTTTACTTTTTTAGAAGGTCTCTTTATTTATGAGGGGGATAAGACTGTAGGAAGAGCCATACTAATTATGTATGTCCCTTTTCTCCAGAATCTAAACCTGTCCCCAAATAGACACAGAGGTCAGACACTGTCCTCGTGGAGCTCATAGGTCACTGGGGAGGGTGGACTATAAATAAAGAGTCACAGTGCAGCATAAGTGCTGTAGTGGATGTCTACTCCAGGTACGGTTGTGGCACAAAGAAGTGGATGAACTCACTGGGGGTGGAGGCAGGAAAGCATTACAGACTAGGTGCAGCTGAGCCGGGTCTTAAAGAATTAGTAGTTCAGTAGACAAGGTGGGGAGGTATCCCTTAAATACTTCTTAGATTAGTAAATGAAGGGCATATCGCACAGAGAAAACAACGTGTGCCGAAAGAGGGACAAAGCTGCAACAGCTCAGTCTCTTCAGGAAAAGTGCAGACTCAGTCTAGCTAAATCAGGTGGGAGGAAGAGAGTGCTGGCAAATGGGCCTGAGAGCTCAAAAAATAAAAAATATACCTAAGAAAATTAGATGAAGGAAATAATATTGACAAAAGCAGAAAATATTGGTTTAAAAATCATAAAAACAGTAGCATTAACAAATAATTCCAAGAGTTGTTTCTTCAAAAGAAAGAAAAAGCAAGAGAGGAGAGAGGGCAAGAGACAGGAAGGGCAGGAAGAAGGGATGGAGGGAGGACAGACAGAGGTCTTGCAGGTTTAATCAGGGGAAAAGGAAAACACATAGAAAGCAAATGTATTGAAGATGTATTTATGGAAGGCTCTGTACTTGCCAGGTCCTGGGCTAGGTGTTGGGGTCAAACAGCTGTATAAAGAGATCTGTCCTCTGCCTTTGAGGAGCTGAATTTCAAATGAGAAAGTGCTTCTTTAAACAGGTAACTACACGGATAAAATATAACTACTAATTGAGAGAGGTGTGAAGCCAAAGTAAAGAATACAATGAGAGGGGCTGGCCCTGTGGCGTAGCGCTTAAGTGTGCGCAACGATGCACTGCTTGTCAGGCCATGCTGTGGCGGCGTCCCACATAAAATGGAGGAAGATCGGCACGAATGTTAGCCCAGGGCCAGTCTTCCTCAGCAAAAAGAGGAGGATTGGCATGGATGTTAGCTCAGGGCTGATCTTCCTCACACACACACAAAAAAATACAATGAGAGGTTCTAGCAAGGTCAAAAATTAACTTGGGGCTGGGTACTACATCATGAAAGACTTTTGAAGATGTGTCATTTAAGCCAATATCTGGGGAAGGAGGATGAGTTAACCCGACAAAGAGTGATTGGAGAAGCAACCCAGGGAGAAAACCAGCCTGTGTGAAGTTCTTGAGGTAGTAAAAACACTGGAAGAAGGTCAGTGGGGCTGGAGTGAACAAAGACAGCAGAGAGTTACAAAGACTTACAGGTAGGGTGACCAACAGTCCCAGTTTGGCCAGGACTTGGGAGGAGGGTCCTGGGATGTGAGAGTTTCAGTTTTAAAACTGGGACAGTCCCAGGCAAACCTGGATATCTTGGTCACCCTATTTACAGGCCTTATTCAAGATTTTGGACCTTACCAGAAGAACAATATGGTAGCCATAATCAAGGCAGCTGTGGGTAAGAATGGAGAGAAATGGACAGATTCAAAAAATATTTAGACATAAATTGATAGAACTTGAGGAATAAATGATAGCCAGGGAAGGGGGTAGGGCAGGGGGAATAATCAAGAATGAACCACAGATTTTTCTGGCTTTGGAAACCGGAGGGATATGCATAAAAAAACGAATGAATATACAAACAAATGACAATAATTTGTTCTTTGACACCAACTGTGAAGTCAGAGCTCCAGATGTGATCACCATCGAGTACACAGGAATAAAGTTTGGTGCCCTCCATCTCTTCCATCCCTGGGGTTGAAATAGAAACTGGGCCTGGTAGAAACCCAAATGTGCTCAAGAAAGAATTTGGAAGTCAGTTTCAACCTTTAAAGATGGGGAGTGTTCCTCACCCTAGTGAGGGGGTATGACTCAACATAATGAGAAAAAGAAAAACAGGAAGCTTTTGTTACAGACTGCCTTCGTCCTGCATTGAGATGGCATGCCAAAAAATGTGTTATTCTTGCCCCCCCCCACCCCAACTCTTAGACTCTAGTATTTAACCTAGAGGAAATTGTAACTGAATTAGGAAGTCCTTTCAAAACTAGACATTTGACACATCTGTTATAGAAGCCTTATAAAAAGCACACTGGGTGCTTGTAAATTTTATAATTATGTTAATTCAAACTCAAAGACACTCCCATGAATTTTAAAAAAATATTTCCAACTCAAATCACAGAGTTTGCCATTGAGATGTGGGGAATATTTGCTGTGTGCACTAAATTCTCTTCTTTAACTGCCCGTGTCAGGAGAGCACAGGACTAGAATGAATATGAGCAGAAGAGACCAAAGATGAGAGTTTATTGAACATGTAGGCTTAATCCAGGTTCAAAAGCACGATACCAGTGAGACCTCAGTCATGTATCTAGACGAGTGAGAACTTGCTTTCCAATACCTCTGAATCCCAAATGAAAGGATGCTTTTCTTGGATGTGGGAGCAGAACACCTGGGCTAGGCTGGGCCACCAAAATCATTCAACCCAATCTTACAACCACTATTTGTTTGTCAAGCATTCATCCACTCATTTATTAATTTAACAAATATTATTGAGCACCTGCTGTATACAAGGCACTCTTCTAGGGCCTTGGGATATGTTGGTGAACAAAACAGACACAAATCCCTCCTGTCATTGATTTTATATTTTAAAGAAAGGAGTAATTAATAAGAATAAGCAATAAACATAATGAATAATAAGTTATATAATACTGTATGTTGGAAGGTGAAAACAGTTCTGGAACAAAAGAAAAAGGAGGGCAGGATAAAAGAGATCAGAGCGAGGCTGAGAGGGAGGCAGGCTGCAATTTAAATGAGGTGGTTGAGTAGCTCTCATTGTGAAGATGATGGTTGAGAAAAGATTTAAAGAGGTGAGGGAGGGCCGGCCCTGTGGCTTGGTGGTTAAGTGCGCGCGCTGCGATGCTGGCGGCCCGGGTTCGGATCCCGGGTGCGCATCGAGGCACCACTTCTCCCTTCATCCTGAGGCCGAGTCCCACATACAGCAACTAGAAGGATGTGCGGCTACGACACACAACTATCCACTGGGGCTTTGGGGGGAAAAAATAAAATAAATAAAATCTTTAAAAAAAAAAAAAAAAAAGAGGTGAGGGAGTTAGCCACGGGGATCTCTAGGAGGAAAGCCTGGTTTATTGTTTTATTTCCCTCCAAAACAGTCCAGAGTAATCTAAAATGGGATTTTTAGCAAAGTGCTCCACTGGGTTCAGAAGGTGGGTTTTGCTTGTGTCCCATCCATAAGTCACGTGTCCTAATCAGTTTGTTCTGGTATACTCTAAAATAGCCCACCAACCTTGAAAGCCCCTGCTCCCAGAACATCTGCTTCAGCTCTCCCATGTTGTAGCATAATGGAATATTGTGGAATTGTCTAAGTGTCCGTCTTCTGTACGAGGCAGTGTAGAAGCTCTGAGACAAGGGCAAACAGGGTCAAAACCTGCCTCTGCCACTTAACAGCTGTCTGTCCTTGGCCAGGTTATTTAACCTCTATGAGTCTCAGTTTCCTCATCTGTAAGGACAAGATAATAATATCTAAGTGGGGTTGTCATTAGTATTCCCAGAGAAATTGTATGTAGAGCATTTAGCATAGTGCTTGGCACACAGTAAGCACTTAATTAAAGCCAACATTTTTTGGTGGTGCCCACACCAGTGCCATCTCCTTGGGGGCAAAGCCCCTCTTGTCTTCCATTCTAGTTTACCGGTGCCTGGGATAGAGCCCAGCCCGTGTAAGGATGGTTATGAGTAATGGGATGCAGTGTGTCCAAGAACACCCAGGAGAGCACACCCAAAGCCCCACTGGAGAGCTCACCCTCCTCATCTGGTTGGTAAACAGCCCCCTGTCCATTCACCAGGATGATGAGTTTACACACGCACACGCCCACACACACCCTCTTTTTTTCCTGAATTTACTGTCTTGGGAAGAGAAGAGTAGCCAGGTAAGGGAACATGTGTGGCAAAGTTTTCTTCCCTGCAAGGGTCTAATAAACAAGACTGTTTCTTATCCAAATTATGATATTTCCTGGTCCTTCTTTCTTTCAAAATGTGTTTTTTTGTCTAAAATTAAAGCATAATAATAGTAATAAAATTAATTCTCTGGTGTGTCAGGCTGTACGTTAAAGGTAGGATGTGATTCTATATATAGAAGGACTTCATAAAGAGAATCAGAACTCTGATCCTAAATGCCTTGCAATGTGGGCAAAAAGTTAGGTATCAAATTAAAAAGACTTTCCCCAAATCTCCTTTCTTACTGCATTTTAGAGTTTCAGAACTATAACATCACGGTGCTCAGGCTCTGTTAGTAGGCATTAGTCTCTGGTGGCTAATGTGCAAAGTCCATAATTACCCAGCCCTTCTGGATGTCCCAGCAGGAACCAAGTGGTTATGACCTGCAGGCATCTCTGAGCCTCCTGAGGTTGAGGGGCTGTGGGTGGAAACCACATTCTGGGCCAAGGAAAGTGGCAATACAACCATTCTTGCTGTGAGCTGGTTTGAATACAGATGTTAAGTAAAGAGGTAACATTATCTGACACTATTTGATATCCAGGTTTGTGGACCAAATCCAGCCTACTGACTGTTTTTGTAAATAAATTTTATAGTTGGTTGTAGCAGTGACTCCTCCTCAGTCCGCAGTGGTCTCTTGGTCTGTCAAGTGTGTGTCCACAGCTGAGCAGAAATCCTACCAATTTTCCACTTTCCTGGTAGAATTTCATGATCTAGAACAAAGGTGGAAAACTAGAGCCTAAGAGCTAATTCTGGCCCACTGCTTGTTTTGTCAATAAAGTTTTATTGGAATACAACCATGCCCATCCGTTTATGTATTGTCTGTGAGTGCTTTTGAGCTATACAGGCATAGTTGAGTGGTTGTAACAGGGATCTGCAAAGCCTAAAATATTTCTTATCTGACCCTTTACAGAAAATGTTGCCAACCCCCATTCTATATGAATGAAGTTATTTGAAGTATCTGTACCCAGAGAAGGTTGTGAGATCATTAAGTCATCACCCAGACATGGTATTAGACACCTGCACTCACACTTAGATGAATATGGGGACTAGCCTTGGACCTCGAAGCAGAAAACTGGTTGCAGACATCATCTCTCACATTAATTTAAGGATGTTAATGTGAAATTGGACTAGTCTTGTAGTTTTGTTTGTATTTAATTTTTAGAGTTGTGTAAGAGCTAAAAGGAATTTTTATCAAGATTTTTTTGGTAAATATTTAATTTACATTTGAATAAAAATAATTTAAGCAACACTAGAACTCCTGGAGAAGTTTTCTGAGGGGACTTATACATTACTCAGGTTTGAGATACACGGGTAAAGCGTCTTCTCCCTCTGACCTTCACACTGGCTTCCCTGCCTTCTGTTTT